CCCGGTGCGAGTTTAAGCCACCGGGTCCGGGACGTGAACCGCGGTCGACTACATGGGAGTCCAGCGACATAGCCATTACGCTAACTGCTGGTCCCTCGTGGGGTGTCTTTAAGTGATGCTCAAGCGCTGTCATAAAGAACAAAGCCCAGAGATAGTGAAAGCTCGGGGAGGCGGCCGCCCTGCCCCAGGCTGCAGGGACCGTGGGCTTCCGTGAAGGAGGGTGACCGATGACCTGCTTTCGTCTCCTTTCCCGGCAGGTTGGCCTCATCCAGCTCGGGAAGGAGCAGGTGCTGATTCAGCCCCTCAACAACTCCCGGGGCCTGGTCAGCGGACGGGAGCATCTGATCAGACGCAGATGGTCCTCGACACCCAGCCCGGCCACCGCGGCCCAGACGCCTGGGCAGCGCTGCAAGGTTCTAACAGGTGAGTCGGGGCCACAGCCTGCCCGGTGCACCCCCAGACGCGTTGGGGTGGTGGGTGAGAACTGAGAACACACCTTCCTCTGTGTATTCGAAGATATTTTCTTTTCTTTTTTTTGAGAAGTTATTGCTATAGGGCGCGTGTGCTCGCCAGCCAGACAGCCAGACCGCGAGACAGAAAGCGAGAAATCACCCCCCAGGTGGGATGGCCATGCCGCAATCCCTTCTCCTCCATTCTCCTCTCAGGATCTTGGGCACGCACGCACACGCGCCCGGCATGAGTTTTAAGCCACTGGGTCCGGGACACGAACCGTGGTCAACTACATGGGAGTCCAGCGACATAGCCATTACGCTAACTGCTGGTCCCTTTGGAGATGTTTTATCGTCCCTGGGGCCACTTCCCTTTCCTTTCTGCGTATTAGTGCCAGCATAGTAAGTAAGCAGGCCTCAAACGAAGTCATCATTTGGGGCCAGCAAGTGGAGTAGTGGTTAAGGTGCTGGGCTCCCACATGGCGGACGGCAGTTCGAGTCCTGGACCCGGCGGCTTTGAAGCTTAATCCTGGGTGCATGTGTGCATGTGCCGAAAATCCCTAGAGGAGAATGAGGAGAAGGGATTGTGGTGTGGGAATCTCCCCTGGGGGGTGGTGACATCTTTCTATCTCTCTCTGTCTCTGTCTCTTTAGAGAGCTCATGCACACTGTAGCAAACATCTGTCAAAAGAAAAAGAAGGAAAAGGCATCGTTTAGAGCCTGCAGGTAGGCTAGTGGTTAAGGCGCTGAACTCCCACGTGGCCGACTGCGGTTCGAGTCCTGGACCCAGGGGTGTGAAACTCACGCCGGGTGCGTGTTGGGGCGTGCTCACCATCCCAAGAGGAGAATGGAAGAAAAGGGATTGTGGTGTGGCCATCCCCCCTGGGGGTTATTTTTTCACTTTTCCTTTCTCTGTCTATCTCCAGTGAGCACTTGTACCCTGTGCAAACACTTAAAAAAAAAAAAGTCATTTTATTTCTGCAAAGAATGAGGCTCTCTTTCATACCGTGTCTCCACTTCTGGTATCAGGAACAAGTCGGGGCCTGAGAAACCCCAGCGACTTACTCGTTCCCTAGTCCCAGGTGGGTTGCAGAGCTGGGATGGGAATTCCCTCCTCCCGGTGCTCCGGCCACAGCTCGTCTCCAGCCCCGGGGGTCCTCAGCCCAGGCTGCCCTGAGCGGGGAACCTGGGGGCCTGCGCAGCAGCAAGTCCCCAAACGTGGCCTCTGGGCCAGGTGTTCAGCAGCATCAGGGCGCTTGGTAGAAAGACACTTTCCAAGGCCAGCCCGGCTGAATCTGAAATTCAGGAGTGGGTTCAGAATCCGAAATTGTGAGTGTGGGAACCACAGTTGTACAAAGTGACGCACTTGCCAGAAAGAATTTTTTTTTTTTTTCCTGGGGGGAGGATCTTTGCTATAGGGCATGTGTGCTCACTGGAGCCGCATACAGAGAGAGACAGAAAGTGAGAAATCCTGTCCCTGAGGGGATGATCGTGTCACAATCCCTTCTCCTCCATTCTCTAGGGGTTTTGGACGTGCATGTACACATGCCCCGTGTGAGTTCCAAGCCGCCAGTTCCAGGGCGATCCTTCGTTGGCCGTATGGGAGTCTAGCACCTTAACCACCACGCCACTTGCTGGCCCCAAGATTTTTTTTCCACAAAGGAGACAGAGCGACATCGTTCCCCACAGGGTCCCTAGGCCATGATTGGTGTATGTTTCATGCTCACGCTTGCTTCAGCTCAGGCTGGGGCTCGCAGCTGCTCACCGTGACTAGAAACCCAGTGTGCTGGGACCAGCAGTTGGCATAATGGCTACATCGCTGGAGGCTTGGACTCACACCAGGTGCGTGCGCGTGTGTGCCAAAAATCCCGAGAGGAGAATGGAGAAGAAGGGACTGCGGTGTGGCCATCCTCCCTGGGAGGTGATTTCTCGCTTTCTGTCTGTCTCTCCGGTGAGCACACATGTCCTCTAGCAAAAATCTCTCTCTCTGTGTCTCTGTCTCTCTCTCTTTCTCTCTCACACAGAAATCTCGTATTGCTAATTTATGCAAGAATTTGCATGTGTAATCACCTAAGTCTATATTTTGTAATATTATACATAATGGTTCGAGACTTAGGCTTTGTATCCAGTAAGAGGCAGTTGACTGAGGGGAGGACCAGCAAGTGACATGGTGGGTAAAGTGCTGGACTCCCACAGGCCGGCTACAGCTCGAGTCCCGGACCTGGTGGCTTGAAAATCATGCCAGGCGTGTGTGTGCATGTCCTCTCAATCCCAGGAGGAGAATGGAGGAGAAGGGATTGTGGCGTGGTCATCCCCCCTGGGGGGTGGTTTCTCACTTTCCCTCTCTCTGTCTGTCCAGTGAGCCCATGTGCCCTATGGCGAAAACCTGCAAAGGAAAAAAATACAATTCGCTCACTCCGAAATGACAGGAATCAAATGGGCTCCAACGCTAAAGGCACCATCAATCGGGGTTTGTGGAACTGAAGTGTAGGGTGTGAGGCCGGAGCTCAGGAGCTCGGCTGTGCTTGGCCTCTCTGCAGGCCTTCTCTGTCCTCGGCTGGTTCCGTGTGGGGTGACACAGAGCCAGGTCGAATGAGGAACTCAACTCGCGTGGTTAACTGGGGTCTGAAGTGGGGCCGGCTTAGATGGCAGCTTTAATTGCTTTCAGCTCATCCCTGGTTTCATGGAGGATGTGTTCAAGTGAATTCTCCCAGGGCCGGCAGGTGTCGTGGTGGTTAAAGTGCTGGACTTCCACATGGCGGACCACGGTTCAGGTCTCACACTGGGTGCATGTACGTGCGTGCCCAAGATCCCGAGAGGAGAATGTAGGAGAAGGGATTGTGGCATGGCCGTCCCCCCTGGGGAGTGATTTTTTCACTTTCTGTCTCTGTCTCTCTGGCGAGCGCACACATCCTATAGCAAAAATCTCTCTGAAAAAAAAAAAAAAGAAAGAAAAAAAAAGCTATGGGAGTAGTGGATGGCATGGTGGTTAAGGCACTGGACTCAAATGTGGCCAACCAGGGTTTGAGTCTCCATCCTGGAGGCTTGAAAATCACACCGGGCCTGTGTGCATGGGTGTTTAAAATCCGGAGGGGAGAATGCCAGCAAAGGAGTTGTGGCGTGGTCATTGCCCTCGGGAGGGTGATTTCTCACTTTCCCTCTCTCGGTCTCGTGTACACACCCTATGGCAAAACCCACAACACAACAACAACGACAACAGCTATGCATAGATTGCAGAATTTTTTGCATTCCAGGAAACTCTTACCCTGTTTGTCCATGCACTGGTGGAAGTCCCTTTGGGTATGAAAGCAGTTTGTTCCCTTGGGCTGGAGCTGGTACCTGCAATGTTTCTACCCAAGTGTTTCCCAAAGGAGGGCAGTTCTGTGTTGATGGCCAACGCACAGCTCAGGTAAAGAGAGGAGGAGAATGAAGGGTCGATGGAGAAGACCAGAGTGTCCCACGGACCTCCTGTCCCTTTGAGGCTGGGAACTCAGATCTGTTCTTACAGTGGGAGAGGTGGAAGGTCCCTCCATGTTCACCAGGTTAGTACTCCTTAGATTTCTTTGTCTTCGTAGAAGAGCCCAGGGGATACCATTTTTTAAAAGAACTATTTTATTTTATTTTAATTTATTTATTTTTTGAGAGGTTTTTGCTATAGGGCGTGTGTGCTCGCCAGAAAGAGAGAGAGAGACACAGAGACAGAAACCGAGACATCACCCTCCCAGGGGGGATGGCCACGCCGCAATCCCTTCTCCTCCATTCTCCTCTCAGGATCTTGGGCATGCATGCACACGTGCCCGGCATGAGTTTAAGCCACCGGGTCTGGGACTTGAACCGCAGTCAAGTACATGGGAGTCCAGCGACATAGTCATTACGCCAACTGCTGGTCCCAAATTTTATTATTTTTAATTTGACCAGAGAGAGGCAAAAAGAGAGAGAGGGACAGTGAGAAAGCAATCCACCAGGTCCGGGACTCGAACCACAGTTGGCCATGTGGGAGTCCAGCACATTAACCCCCATGCCATCTGCCAGCTCCTTACGTGGGGAGCACCTGCTAGTAATTCTTCCTGCGTTTCCCGATGTCTCCTGTCTGTGCATCTCCCGAGCTTTGAAGACATCCTTCGATCCGGCCTTTCAGTTTAGGCAAAGCACGCGTTCCTTCAAACCCCTCCGCCTCCTTTTTCTTTCTTTTTCTTCTGATGAATGACTATGGAAATCCTCTGGATTTTCTTTCGAGAGGTCCGGGTTCGTGAATAATGCTTATTAATTCCCCTTTTGGGGTGAATGAAGTGAAAACTCAGTAATAACACTCTATAGCAGCATCACAATCGCTGTTACTGTTCCCGCAGGCCGTGTGGCTGTGGTTTGGAGCCGGTTCGAGGCTGTAACAGGGACGCTGCCCGCTGCCTGCCTGTGTAGCTGGGAGTGGGCGTGCCCTGGACGCCTGGGGTGGACGCTGCCTCTGCTTCCCCACGAGGAAGAGGCGCTGAGCCCGGTCGGCTGATCTCTCATCCCTCCCTTTCTTCATCTGCAAAAACGAAATACTTTCCGGGACCAGCAGTTAGCGTAATGGCTATGTCGCTGGACTCCCATGTAGTTGACTGCGGTTTGAGTCCCGGACCCGGCGGCTTAAACTCATGCCGGGCGCATGTGTGTGTGTGCCCAAGATCCTGAGAGGAGAATGGAGGAGAAGGGATTGTGGCGTGGCCATCCCCCCTGAGGGGTGATTTCTTGTTTTCTGTCTCTCTGTCTCGCGAGCGCACGCGCCCTATAGCAAAAACCTCTCCACAAATAAAAAAAAATAAAGAAATACTTTCTTTGATAGTTTGACTTTACCAGAGTTCTGGGGGCTCGGTGAGTTAGTGCAAATGTGTTTGCATGAACTAGGAAGTATTTTTAAGGGCCAGATGGTGGCATGGTGATGAAGGCGTTGGATCCCATGTGGCTGGCTGCAGGGTTTGAGTCCTGGACCCGG